TGATATTTAATGGATCGGATTACATTTTTTATTTCTCTCCGATATCCGATCCAGTAATTTAGGTCAGTATCGGACCGATACCGATACGTAATATCGGATCGGTCCATCTCTAGTACAAACCATGACGGGGGTCATGGAGCCAAAAGTCCGGCAGTTTCAGCGCCACAGCGAACGTAGCTGCAACAGGAGGCGGAGGTCCGGCAGCCGCTGATGCATCCACAGCGGAGTCTGCGTTATCTGCGGCTCGTTGCATGCTCAGTCAGGGGTCACCAATGTGGAGGTAAGCATCAACAACACAGAGCTCTCAGTTCTCACTCCTTCTTTATTCGTCTCCAACATCAACTGCGCATATCGCGCCACAAAACACAGGAACACACTTCCTATACACTGGGTGTGAGTGGAGCCCTCTACTGGTCCACCACAATATAACCATTTCAAACTATTTACAGAACAATCAGGTGTTCTGCATCAAAGAAGAAGGCACTTAAATTATTTATGCAACTCCAAAAAATTGTTTGTGTCCACTATAGCACAGATGAGAACAGCACAGGGATAAACCTGCAGGTCTGACAGCAGATGTGTCAGCGCACTCATCCCCGACTGTCCGACGGAGGGGCGGGGTCACACGTTGAAACAGACACGAGGCAGCCCAGACGGCGAAATTTTGCTTTTACATTTTGCGACTCATTTTATTTCTCTATCTGATAAGAAAACTATTCAATCAGATAGTTATGTGTGGTGAATGAAATACAGTTACACTTTCAAGCACTTTTAAGCACCACATCTGAAATTCAAGCACTTTTCAAACCTTGAAAAGACAACATTAAAATTCAAGCATTTTCAAGGTTTCAAGCACCCGTACGAACCCTGTTAATAACAAGAACACCGGATTACAAGCATTACATCTAATTCCTACTAAAAATCCACAACTAATTCCTGACCTCTGAGTCAGGAAAACCCAGGGTTTGTTTGTTTTTTTTAAATCCACAGATTGATACTGTTATGAAATTTAAGAGCTCCACAACCAGAATAAATATAATACACAATCATGTGGGCCATGCAAAATGTGCAGAGCACCACTGAGCTATTTCTCTTTATATATTTATAATCTTTATATTGGAGATAATAAAATTTGTTTGAAACTTCTTCATTCAATCACGTCACCATATTTTGTCTTCTGTGGTGCTGTTGGTTCCTCTTGTTGGGGTACTGAAAGACAGTAAAGAGAAGGGTAGAGATGAAGCATACGGTCTTCATTTGGTGAATCATAAGTGATGAAATGATACGCGCCGATAACTTTTCTGATCATAAATCTATATACTTCAATAGGTTGACTCTTCAATCTTATATCCAAGACAACAGTTAACACAACATTAAATTCACATTTCATACAGTTCTGCACTGTGCTCACCTGGAGGTGGTGACCTGTCTGGGACTTTGCCTGTTTCTAGGAGCAACCAGAGGTCTGAGCATTTCTGCGTTTCCCAGCGAGTCACTGCGTAACTGCCCACTGATGATGCCACTGAGAGCACACAGGGGAGAGACAGTGGTTTCAGTGGCAGCACTGATGTAAGATCTACATTTGAGAGCTAAATACATTTCTTTATGTATTTTTAATAGCACAATCCAAATATTTTACTCCTCACCTATTGAAATGAGCAGGTTCCACTGAAGGGGATAAGGAAGCTTCCTCTGTAGGGCCTTCTGAATAGCAAAAAAACCTGCAACACCTGCACCAACAACACAACTCACTGTCACATCTAAAACCAGGGAGAAACATTTACACTTGTAACTGTGCAGATTTTCTTATTGCTGCTGGTTGGTTTTTTTGTTTTGTTTTTTTCAATTATACTAATTTCTAGGTTAAACCTAAAATGACAGATGACCTGACAGCTGAGTGGGTAGGACACAGACGGGTAAATGCCATCAGCAGTGGGCACTGGATTTGATTCCCAGCTGACTGGACATTCACTGTCATTCCCACACTTTCTTTCACTTTCTTGTCTCTTGTTGGCTCTGAACTGAAAATGCCAAACAGTCAAGCTTTTGTTTGGAGGGTGGTAGGTGTACTAGTTTCCCTTGGACAAAAAAGGCATAAATCCTCTCACTGGACACTTTATTAGTACAAGGCCTTCAAAAATGGCTTATTTCTTTGTCCTATGTCCTTGTGCTTGAAACCAGTTCAAGATGATCTGACCTTTGTGACAGCCATTAGAAGATGGTTACACTGTGGTCACAGAGGAACGGACATGGTCAGTTACTGAAGCAGTGAGTTACTCTAGACTTCCTATCAACTCAAAGCATGCTGGCCATTCTCCTCCAACCTCTGACATCAACAAGGTATTTTCAACCAGAAAAGTGCTGATCACAGGATATTTTGTCTTTTTCACACTATCCTCTATCAACCATAGAGATGGTTATTACAATTTTTTTTACTAGGACAGCAGCTTCACCTTTCTTCCCCACACTGATGCTCAGTTTGAACTCCAGCAGGTCGTCCTGACCATGTCTACATGCCTAAATGCACTGAGTTGCTGCCATGTGATTGGCTGATTAGATATTTGCATTAAGAAACAGTTAAATCAATGTACATTACAAAGTGATCGGTGAGTATATTGTCAGAGCTATGTTTGGGTATCCTTCAGTACATTTCTGTTATCATTTCTTCATTAAATCATTTGCATTATGAACTGCTGGCATAAAAACAAAAACAGTCCAGGATGCTAAAGAGCAACATCAAAAACATAAATAGATATAATAACAACAATAGTTATTTTAACTTTAATAATACAATCATTTTCTCCCTGTGCTGAGATCAGTGTGATCATTGTGGGTGATACCACAAACATTTACAGAATACAGCTCCCTCTTGTGGTATATTCTGTCTGCAAATCCTGACATCTGTATTGTTTGCCTACATTCACTTTGACCTTACTTCAGTGTCTCGATTTTCATTAAAAATCTCAACACAATGCAGAAAAAAAATTATAACAACTGAGGTTCAGAATTACACATAAAAACAGCAGCACTGACTGGGTCAAAGTTAGAGCAACACAGCCAACAAGAATTTGGATGAAAGCATGAAAGCATTAAGAATGTACAAATAGGAGAAAGTCAAAGATTGTAACATGGACTGAAATATTTCTTATTTTAAGTGTGTGACTTTTAATAAATAAATAAATAAATAAATAAAAGTATTACCCAGCACAAAGGTCCCAGACCCCTTCATGAAAGCATGAGACTGACAGGCGGCGTAGCTCTCCAAACCCTGAGAGACAACAAATAAAACCAGCTCTCACCTGTGTTACACATTTCTGTTGTATCTATGGTAAAGGTGTCAATGTGAGCAGCTGCTGGTTTATTCCAAGTGTGCAGAGGGACAGTGTCCTCCAGAGTGCACAGGTAATAAAAACGCATAAAAACAAACACAAAACCCACCGGATGTTTGGCCACCAACGCGTCGTCCACTTTGGTGAGCCCCAGATTAACCATGTTGAAGCTGGAGGTAACTTTTTATATATATAAGAAATAACCACTTTAACTCATCCCCTAACTTCTTAGTCCACAGCTCGCTGTAGATGTACTATTATGAAAGTTCCGTGTTTGAGAACAACAAACACCGAAGAAGGAAAAATAGAGCAGTCTGTCCAAAACTGTGGCGACATCTAATGGAGGGAGAGTGGTACTGCACCCTTGCTAACTCAAGGTAGCATTTTAGAGGTTGCTTGCAAGAAAGAAAAACACAAGAAAATACATACATGAATGAAATATATACTAACTCACTAACGCAAATATCTAATCAGCCAACCACATGGTGGGCATTGTCAGGAAAGGTAGTTTAACAGATTGTGGTGTGGTTGTTGGTGCCAGACTGGCTGGTCTCAGGATTTCATAAACTGTTCATCTACTGGGTTTGTCCCACACAGCCATCTCTGGGGAAAGAGGAAATATGTATTGGTTCTGTGTGAGAAAATGCCTGGCTGAGGAAAAACAGCCACTCTTTGAGCTGCTGATAAGAAGGCAATGGTAACTTAAATAACCACTTGTTAAAACCAACGTATGCAGAAGAACATCTCTGAATACATAACATACCGAACCTAGAAGCAGACTGCCACTCCTGTCAACTAAGAACAGGAAACTGAGGCTACAAATCATGCAAGCTCCCAGAAGATTAAAACATTAAAAAAAAATCCTTGCCTGGTGTTGTGAAGTTCAACAGTAAGAAAAAATATATATATAATATGAGAGACAACAAACACTCATTCTGAAAGGAGTACTTATATATTAGAGAGGGTTCATTTAAGATTTTCCCCCAGACTGAAGAAATTTAAGTGCTGTACTTACACATGATGGGGAGATTTATGTTCTGCAGTGGTAAAGGTCCACAATTTAGAGCAACAGACAATACCAGCATTAAGTCGTGCAGTAGACAAGGAACACACACACACAAAGCAAAAAATGTATTCTTATGGAAATACACTTTCCTCATTTCCATAAGAATAATTTCCTCATTTCCTCTCTGTTGTGCGCATGTGCAGAACTTGACCTCTGGGTGTTTCGGATGTTATCTCGACGTTTAAAAAAGATGGTTTAGCCAGTGCTACCCAAACTTCTTTGCCTAGCAGACACATAACAAAGGGCACCTAAACCACCACATGTGGGACGCTTTCAGCACAAATGCAGACTTGAACTATCAAACTTTTCATTCAGGATTGTATTTATCTCCTTTGTTGGGTACCACTGGGCTTCACTGTTGAACTACTTCACCAAAATGGTCTCTAATCTATACTCAGAAATAAAAATTCTTCTTATTAGCACTACAAAAATGTCAGATAGATCAAATCTCAATAATCTGCAAGTGCCCAGACTCTCTGCTGATGTCTGTGACCGGTCTGTTGAACTCTGACACCACAGTGGCCTTAAAGATTTAAAGACCTGAGAGCAGTTTCTGTCCTAGAAGAGAAAGAACAGGCAGATGGAAAGAATCCAACTGCTGAGACCCAAGAAACAACACCAAGGGTAGAGTTACAGGGAGGCCACAGCAGAGCATCCGAACATCTGTTGCTTGTTACAGAGGAGAGAAAACAAAGGGCAAAGGACTGCTGGAGATACATGAAGCATAGACTGTAAGAAAGCATTAGCTCTCAAGGTGGTGACTGTGATGACGCATATAATGTTTCATTTATTATTCATCATACTTTCACAATAAGAGCATAAATATTGAGATTAAAAGTGAGCTAATAGGCTTAATAGGTTCAGTCAGTGCCAAAGCAACGTGATGGAAGACAGCAGCTCCATTAAAGAGCGACTTCCCCATTAATCTTCTCAGCTTCTCTATTTTCATTCATATAACTAATAAAGAAAATTTTCACAATAAAATGTCAAATGTAACTGAAAATAAATACTGATCTGATTACTTATTTTCTTCCTTTCCCTTTGATTTATCCAGTGGCTCTATAAGACCCAGGTCTGTTGCCTTGAAACAGAGTGATAAAATAGTAATAGCTCTGCCTCAGACAGTTGGGGTAAAATAATACAGCTGGTATGTTTTTGGTCAAATTTTGGGTTTGATACTCTTAAGTGTATTTATTTTTACTTAAAGTGGACTAGCTTTGCTGATTCACAGTTCAAAATAATCTCTTTCCTTCCATTTAAAGCAACTTGCTCCTGATTGGCTGCCCCTCTCAGGCAGCACTAATGACGTCAGTCATTATTGCAAACTAGCTACATTTTATATGCATCTTTTAAGACATCATATGCATGACAGAACATAAGCAATTGTATAACAGGGCTAAACTTTAAACTGGTTTTTGTATTTTTAGTATTAATTTTAGTGGGTTATTTACGGGACATGCATATTTGTGAAGAGTTTGGTCTAAATTAAAACAATAATAATAATATTAATAATAATGAAAAGAATATTTTACCCCAGGAGGTCTTTTGGACTGAATGAAAACATAAACAGCGGACATGAAAAAAATAGCTAAATACACTACATCCTGGTAAAATCTACATTTTAGCTAAACACACGTCAGAGCCCGGATAGCTCAGTCGGTAGAGCATCAGACTTTTAATCTGAGGGTCCAGGGTTCAAGTCCCTGTTCGGGCGAGAACTTTTGACGCGGAAGAGAATGGAGCTGAGAAAACAAGTGCTGAAAGTTGAGGTAAAGATAGAGAAAGAAGTAGTAGCGAGCGGACTCTCCCGTACCTGATTTTGGTTTGTCCAAGTAACTGCAGGTTAGCCCTGACTCTTCTGTACTACTTCTGTACTTTTTATTTTATTTTATTTTATAAATGTCGTGTAATGTTTCTTTGTCGCGGGAATGTTCGTAATGACATAAAAATATTATAAATGTTGTTCTGCTTCATTCTAACCAGCTGATTAGTTTGTTTTACACTCCTGGAAACACACAAAGGAAACCCGTTCAACCAATCACATTCATCGCACTTTGATCTGCGACAAACTGCAGCGATGTCCACGTCTTCTCTATAGAGCTGTGGGACAGCACGCTTTAATGTTTAAGTGGATCCAGTTTAAAGTATCAGAGATCTAATGTGCTGCTGTCACCTTAGAAATAATCAACAGCACTGGGAGCTCACTCAGTGACAAAATCATTAACTGTATTTAAGCTGATGAATTTGCATTTACAGCAGTGTTGGATTTTGCTGGTATATTTTTATGCTCTTTAGAGATTTTTTTATTACCCTTTGATGTCATGTCTGGAGTAGGTGGCACTCACAGTGATGGTTTTCTGTGGAAGAAAAGTCATATGATCCGTGGACCTCCCTCCTCCCTTTCTGATTTGTCAAATGCTGCCAATGCCACCCTATTTGTGTGACTATTCATCTCAATCTTAAGTGAATTCAGAAAAGGGAAAGATGTCCCGGGTATGCTGAGTGAGGAAAGTTAGAGAATCGTAAAGTGCAGAGGAAGTGAGGGCAGCTATGAAGAGTGGAGAGAGAGCAGTTGCCTTTAAGACCAGATTGTTTAACACCATGCCTGAAGAAATGAAGAGTTGATGGTCAAGAAGCAGGCTGATGTGCAGCGCTGTAATATCTAAAAGAGTTGTGAAAGAGTTGTTATGCTCAGTTATGAAGAGAAGTGATGAGCAGCAGTATGGCTGGTGCCAAGAGAAGAACTGTGGTACTGTATGAGGAAGTCTGGAGTGAGGGTGGTGAGACTGCGGTGAGGAGTGCAGTAGGATTGACACAGGTTTAAGATGGGGAGGTGGATTACATCACGTATTGACTTTGAGTTCATTTTCGTTTGCGATGGTGATGGACAGGTTGACAGATGAGGTCAGGCAGGAGTCTCTGTGGACTATGATGCTCACACCTGCAATGATGTATGGTTTTGAGGCAGCAGAAAGACAGCACATTTGTAAGTATAACTCGGGTGCGAACTGGTGATTGTAGATATTTTTGATCGGAGCATGACAAAGTTACACAGATGAATCCCCTCCACTCAATTAATGAATTATTCTAGTACTTGGAGGCATTTCTTTGTGATACCAAGAGTTCAGATAATCAAGACACTTTAGGAATCAGCAGACTTCTTTTTTCAACTGCTCCGTTCAGGAGTCACCACAGCGGATCATCTGCCTCCATCACCACTGTGATCTTTTCCTCCCGCCTTAAAACACTATCCCTCCTCTGCACCAAAACCATGTCCAAACCCACTCGAGCTGAGCTGTCTATCTAATGTACTCATTTGTAATCCTGCTAATTCCCAGAGAAAGACTGAGCATCTGCACCGCAGCCTCCTGTTTGTTATCACAGCAGGTGTCATTATGGTCCTCTAAACCTCTTTCACAAATAACCCTCTGACACTCATCTCCAACCACTCCACCCTGCCTGCACTCCCTTCTTGCCCTGTCCATTGCGTTGGATGTCAACCCCAGGTATTTAAACCTGTCCACCTTCCCTCTCATTCACCTTGTCTCGCTTTTATCATCGATCTCTGCAGTGCATACCTCTACCTGCTCCCTGCTCTCACTGTATGTGGCCCCTGTATGCACATCAAACCAAACTCCACCAAATGAGGTTCATTTTTATTTATTATCATTTAACATTGGAAAAGCAACTGTCGGTTATCCCAGTTGTACTTCCATTCACATATTGTAGCTCTTTATTTCTAGGTGATTAATGCGTATATTTTTACCCAAAAAAAAAAATAAAAAATAAAAATTTATTTTAGACACAATCTGTACACTCTGTCCAAATCCACACCACACCCCTCACCTCATCTACGACAGGTATGCCAACACGAGAGCCAAATTTTAGTGCAGTGTTCAAAAACTTTCACATTCACACACGCGCGCACACAAGGAAAGCAAATAAATCACATATACACATGCTTATTAAGTGTTGGGAATTCTCACCTAAGAAACAAGAGGACACATTAAGCAGGTGTGCATTGTAGGTAACACAAGGAAGGCAGGTGATTTGTGGATAAAGTCGACAAAAAAAAAAGCTCCAGAGCAGGAAATGGTTCAGTTCATCAAACCACTTTCCAAAATAAAAGTCACAAAAAGACGGCCGTGGGAGGGATTCAAGTTTTACACTCCAAGACACCTCTCACGTGGAAGATTGTTTTGTCACATGACTGTGTGCAGTGTTCTCATGGGATTTACAAAAAAGAAAAAAAAAACACTGGGAAGGCAACAGCCAGAACTCAATCATCCATCTAGAATCAGGAAAGTAAAATAAATCAAGTAACAGCGATGAAATGTTTCAGCCCATCTAACCTCATCACCTCACAGATATACAAAAAAAAAAAAAAAAGGTCCCACAATGAGCACTTTTTATGCCTTCAAATATCACCAGGACAAAAGAAAGGTTCACAATCAATTTTTTAAAATAAATATAGCTCCATAGATAAGATTTTCTTCAAAAAAAATAACCCTTACAAACACACATGCGAGAAACTGAGCACTAGCTCCTCCTCGCCAATCAATGCACACATACAGCGTAACCCTGGAGATGTAAAAATACAGTTTGAAAAGGCAGGTGTCTGTTCGGAAGAAACAACCCCCTCCCCCCCGAAAAACCCAGCAAACTGAGCCCAAGAGGGATTTATACCAGCTGACAGGAGTGGTAAGCTACGGAAGGTCAGAGAAGACTTTGGTAAAGATCATTCTTACAGGTTAAGCTATTGAACATCAAATAATAAATTGCTTTTATATTACGCCATCAGTGCTCACTTTTACTGGGACAAATTGTGTGTAAGAGCATCAACAACACTGGTCGTACTGAAGCTGGTTTCTGCCAAAGTAGAAAAACAAACAAAAACGCCAGTTACTTTCTCAGAAGACTGAGTTCATAAGTCAAAATTTCAACATAAATGCAATAAATTTAAAAATGTTTTAGTTTTGTTTGTTTCCACCCCAAATGTATTTATTTAATTATTTTTTTTTACAGTTGCAGAAACAAGTTTCCATAGAAACCACTTTTCTTTTTTTAAATGTTAACTGGAAATTCCTTAAAAAAAAAAAAAAAAAAAAAAACCACACACACACCACCTACTTCCAGCACAAACTGAAGTCTTTAACCATTAAAATTATATATATAAAAAATAAAAAAGTGACGCCTTTATTTGGCAGCTACTTTATTACAGAACAATGATCTTACTGTCAGACCACCAATTTATAATTAAATAGGACATTTTTAAATTAAGTAATATGGCCCCCTTTAAGTAGAGCAAAGATGTCCGTTAACCTCGACTCATTAGCAATGTTGACCACCTCAAAGTCCTTTTTTGTACATGTTGGCAGCACAGGCGCTCACACACACACACACACACACACACACACACAATACTGGTAGTGGGACTCTGTGAAATCTCTGATAATCTGTGTCGTGGTTTGCTGTGTGGGGAATACAGACAGGGAGGCCGCGGCGATGGCAGCTAAAGTGTCGATGACTGTGAGCGCAGCAGCCGTGTGCACGAGAGAGGTCAGAAAAGGGAGCGATACAGTGAAAAGGTCCATGTCCCATTGTACCAGCTGAATGACAGATGCTGCAGCCCCCAAGTCCCCTGTTTGGACAGACGAAGTGACACCCAATGGGATGACGGCGGTCTGTATTCCGACTGTGGTCCGGAGAAGCTTGTTCAGTTCATCAACAAGATGACTTTCTCCTCCTTACATACAAAACCGTAGCAGCAGGTAGTGCCCGAGGTTCTCCCTCGAGAGAAAACAAAGACCCCCCCCCCCCAAAAAAACCAACAAAAACCAACAAACCGAAAAAAAAAAAAAAAAAACAAAAAAAAAAATCCCATCCCCGTCATCCACATGAAAAGCAAGCTATGGAGAATCACCAGTCCTGGGAAGTGGCAGATGTCTTTTTGCGTTACTCTCCGTGCCCTCGTCTTCTCAGTCCTGAACTCCTTCAATCACTCAACCAATCAACATTGTCTCTTCTCAGGAAGCCCCCCCCACCCCGCATCGCACTTAATCCCCGCTCCCCCTCCCAAGTGTAACCCCATTCCCTCCCCGATGATCATCCTCCTCCTCCCCTTCCAAGCAAGGATGAAGACGGATCACCGCTCGGGCTCAGACTCCAGGGCCAGCGCCCGCTTACGCTCGCGACACTGTTTCTTGTGGGCCGGCCAGTCCCTCTGCTGGCACTGGGACCCGCAGTAGCGCGCCACCTGGCAGCGGCCGCATATGTTGAACTCCCGCAGCTGTGGAAAGACAAGGAAGAAGATCATCTTTGGCTCTGAGAGCACGGAGCTTTCGAATGGGAATGCTTTGCTACACGAGTTGGAATACATACCCTCCTCTCAATGAGCGAACAAGGAGGGTAGTGACACTCGTAGTAGGTGCAAGAACACTCCTCTTCCTCCACCAGCTCCCCATTTGCATTGTAGTAACGTGTGCGACTCAGCTCCAGATATTGCTCTTCCACAGGGTCGGCTGGTACCTGCTGGATAGCCAGCCAGTAGAGGGACTGCTCTCTGTACAGATAACATGAGAAATGTTCGGCATGCATTACTTGTTTGGATAACCCTGGAATAAATCACAAAAGGATTTAAGACTCATTTCCCCTCAACAGCTGCCCGGTGTGTCCTTTCTAGCATTTTCACATGTACCTATAAGCAATGTTTTACCTCTGCTTGCTGGAAATCTCCTCTGGTTTAGGGCTCCAGCCTACTGGAACCAGTCGAAGGTTGTCTAGTCGGTTGTCCACCGTCACAGAGTTGATGTGGATAACTTGAAAACTAGGGGCGATGCCTCCTCTGTGCTTCTCCCTGGGTAAAGACATTAAAAGTTAGCCAGTCTGCAACCAGCAGGACAAAAATCTGACCTTGGATAAGAAGAGTGTTTATTCCAAGGACTCCTCAGTAAGGAGCTGATGCTAGCTCAGAACACTTTTTATCCAATATGAAGCGTCATTGAAAGCCAAGTCCACTACAGAGCTTGAGCATGCACTAGTTTACTATACAACCTCTATTTCTCACGACTAGTGATAAAACTGAAAAGCTAGCTCGCTAAACAGTTGATGGTTTAAGTGACACCTGTGTCACTGCGCAGAGAGAATTCTTTTTGCCATTTTAGCCCCTTCCCCTACTTCTGTTAAGCTGAAGCAATTCTCATGAGCACCCACTTATCTTATCTGACAACTTTAACACTGATTAAACTAAGATGAGCCTTACAATGGAGGGCGCTTTCACAAGAAGCATGCTCATAGATTTTCCAGCAGAGGATAAACCACAGAAGAAGCCATTTCCAGCAGGCAGTTCCACATATTTGGCAGGTTGTCTATTTTTAAATCCCAGATGCAAGTCCACAAGCTTGCAAACCTGAGACCTGTCGCTTGTTAAAGCAGTGTGCAAACGACTAAGGTATGCAGTCACAGAAGAAAAACAAAACAAAACACAACACCTTGACACAGTTTAAACAGACTTACCAGAGCAGCTCGTGCAGCGGCCTTCCTGCCCAGCGTCCTTTGCCGACGTCAAAAGCATAAGCAAAGATCTTAGCTCCATTGCCATCTGCATCTACTTCCATGCGTGCCTGGAAACAGAAAAACACTGCTCTATATTTTTTCTCAACTGTATCCGGATATCAGAGCAGTAGTGAAAAATCAAACACGCTTACCTCAAAGGCATAGTTCTCCACCAGTGGTATGTCCTGCTCATCGATCAGCGTGTACTTTGTCTGAAATAAGAAAATTCAGGTTCATTTTCATGTTTAAACCTACAACTGCAACAACAGCATCCCCACTCTCAGGGGAGCTTTATTGTTTGTGAATTAGCACTAGCAGAGTCATAAACAGGGGCACTACTTCTAGGACAAGTTTCAACCTTCCAAACTTTTTACACTGACCACAGCAGCAACACGTTTCTGAAGCAGTCCCAGCTGTCTCACAGACACCTGAGCTCTTCTCCAGCAACACAACATGAAGCAGATGAAACCTGTGTGACACTTTCTTCCTTCTATGATTGCATGTGTGTGGCGTTTCCACGAGTGACATCATGTTTACAGCTGAGTGACCGGAGCCCTGCCACTCAGCAGGTGGGCAACCGGCTGCTCACGGTTCAAATACGGTTTATTCCCAGTGTGTCCCGTGACTTCAGCGTTAGCAGCTGGGAGCGCTTTCTGACCCACCGCTCGCCACAGTTTCTGCTTCAAGCGTTAATTAGTACGATTAAAGCCAAAGCCGACACAGGCACAGATGTTGGGCAGTGTCGTCCTACCGGTGCTTTGTCACACTGCACAAAAGAATCAGTTGATGGCAATGGCTTCCTCATTAGCCGACACTTGAGGGTAATCCTAGTAACATGGCTAGCGTGGCTCTGCTAACTGCACCGCCGAGTGTTTGGGTATGACACGACCGCCGAGGGGTTTCCAGTCCACCGACAGCGGCTGTGACAAAAACTGAGCACGTGTTTACGTTTCTGGCGCTGTTTGGTCGTTAAATGTTAGCCAGCGGCTAGCGTAACGCGCTACATGCTAATTAGCGTTAGCGGCGGAGTTTGAGAAACCAGTCTGGCTCGGCACGGCCGGCTTTTCTAATCCGCTCAAACGCCTTTAAATCGGTAAAGCCGAACTACTCCCGCATTTGCGACTGCTTCATAATAATCAACTCTGTTGGCTAGAGCTGATTGAGCATCGCTAACTATATCTTTTCTGGTGACTTTTCTCTTCCCCGCGGGCCCTCCCCCGGCCGCACATGGCAGTCCTGGGATCCAGCTCACCTTCCCGGCCACACGGCCGAGCCGTACGATCCCGAGCTTGAAATCCGACATCAGGAGGACGGGCGGAGGCGACAAGAAAAAGCGTAGGGTCCAGCCTAAACTGTATTCAGGTTCAAAACCCGCCTCTCAGCCCCGTTTGCCAGGTTGCGTTAAATGGTTGGGTATATTCTGAGTCCGGATCTCTCCGGCAGCAGCCCAGCCTCGGTGACACACCGCCGCTGGCGCAGGAAAGCCGAACGAGCTGCCGCTGCTGGGAGGGGCGGGAGGAACCTCTAACCGCAGCGTCCAATCAAGCGTGGCGTTAAGGCTTTTTAATACAATACGTCACCTCACGCTGCCAAATAGGAAGCGGCAGTTTCAAAAGACCGCCTATTTTCAGTTATAACGTCATCACACTCTCGTGACCACTTCCAGCCATTTTCGCGCGAAATGTTTGATGGCTGGGTGGGATTATTGCAGAGGGCTTTGACGTCATGATGCGCCGTTTGCTGCTAAATTTGGCGACAGGCATTGAATGTGCATTGCGTAAGCCTATAGAGGAGGCTAACAATGATTCATAAGGTAAACACTGAGCCCAGTGGAATAAGAGAAACTGGTACACATGGATAAAAGAACATCATAAGACTGGAAAAATAGAGATAAATATAATAAAGAGAAAAGGACAAAAAAAAAGAGTCAGTAGAAAACTGGGCCACTTACTGTTCAGGATCAAGGATAAAGTACACAGTGTATTCAGTTTATAGCTCAATGCAAGAACAAAAATATAATAAAATGAGAAAATTGGCCAGTGTTCAGATGATAGTTTACTATTACTTTAGCATCTAAGGAGCAAAAAACAAATTGAAAAACCTGATATGGAGAGCTTAAAAAGGTAATTGCAGTTCTTTAGGTTTGTGAAGACGTTTCATCTTTCATTGATTAATTTGTTTTACTAACAAAAGGTGGAGAGTCCCGGTTATTTAAACCTTAGTGAGTGTTGTGTCCCATGGATGTGGTCATTAACCAGTTATTGATCATGTGAGTAATCACATCATCAAGGTGTGAAAAAAGGGTGAAATCTTCACTGTCACCCGGGGTTATGGGTGAAATCACTGTGTGATCTTGGCTCAACCCATGTGAGCTACTGAAGTCACCTGAGTCAAGGCTGAGTGTGGAAGGGGGTTTAAGAGCCTGGGAAGGGATCTCAAGACTATGTTCTGGTAATGGGGTCAACGATGGTCGTTTACAGGGGATGTAGATGGGTGTCTTCACTCTTCTCTCGAACAATCTGTCATCTCGGTCCAAAATGTCAACATTTGCGTCCTCAAAAGACTGCCCATTGTCCTTTAAGTGCAGGCTTAGAGAAGAGTCTTGGGCCCATGTGTTTGTTTTTTTTTTTTTTTTTTGCAGTTTGGTTTCTCTAATACTGAGGTATGAACACGCCTCACTGCACTGCCCAGCATACACTATGTTGTCAACCTTGTGTTTGGGAGTTTGGAGAAAATTCTTCCAAGTTTCTCTGACAAACCTGCTACACAAGGGTAAACAATATTGCTGTCCAGCTGTCTTTCTGTTTGTCCCTAGTTGGCGTCTGCCCTTCTCTTCTGTGCATTTTTGATGATTTAATGAAGGCCCAGTTGAGATAACCACATGTTTCAAGAGCTTTCTTTACATGTGTGGAATATAGCTGACCTAGCCAGACCTACCATGACCTGGACGACTGAGAACCTACACAGACGCACTGAATCTGATATAGTTCTTTGTGTATTTTGAAAGATCGGTTTCTTTTTACAATCACTTAATTCACTGACTGCATAACATTTGCTCATAGTTAATAGAAGGCATTTCTTCCTACATTGTGTAGCATTTCTTGCTACACAACCCCATTACATTTTGGCTTTTCAGCACCTTATACTGGATTCTGTGTTTGTCAGCAGTTGTGATATGGTGTAAAATAAATGCACTGGAATTTTACCCCACTCTTCTTTATGACGGACTATTCATTTACACATAGCTCTCTTAAGGTCACACCACAGCATTTCTGTCTGGACTTTGACTGAGCCACCTGACAGGTCTCGTCCATGCCGCCAGCCGTCTGCCAAGTCATCCAAGTGTGGTCAGCCATGCCCGCTTCACCACCGCCACTTTCCACGTGGCTGGCCCCCTGATCTGCTCCGTCGCCATCGCTGGACCTGTGGCTGGCCGCCTGAACTCTTCGGTCATGAACTCCTGTGCTGTCAGCCTCCAGGTCGGCCCCCTGAACTTTTCAACTACGGACTGTTGTGCCCTCGACCCCCTGGTCAGCCACCTGAACAGCTTCGCCATGAACTCCTGTTCTACCGAGATCTGGGTCGCCCTCCTGAATTATGTTCTTGAACTCCTATGCACTTGTGTTTGGACTGAGTGTTCCAGATTGTTTATTTGGTTGTTTAGTTTCTTTTAGTCTCCTTTTGCCCTTTATGTGTTTCATGCTCCGTGTCTTATGTTGTCAAGGTTATATTGTCTCATGTTTTCTGTTTTATTTTGAAAGTCTGTGTCCTATGTCAGTATAGTCAGCTTTGCTTCCTTTGTTTTGTTATGTCAGACTAGTGTCAGCTGTTTCCCCATGTGTTTCCACTTCCCCTAATCACCCTTGTGTGTATTTAGTCTGTGTGTTTCTGTTCATTCCTGGTCAGGTCGTCTGTTGTCCACGCCATGTTTCATGTCTAGGTTTTTCTTGTTGTTTGTTTAGTTCTCCCAGTTTAGGTTAATGTTAGTTTTACTTCAGTATGCCTTGCCCTTTGTTTGTACCTTTTTTACCAGCCATATTAAACGGCTTGGTTTTTGTTAATACTCAAGCTTTGGTCCAAGTTCCTTAGCGTCTGCATTTTGGGTCCACTCTTCACAATACATACAGTCTGCCTCTGCCAGACACAAAGAACCATAAGTAAGCCTGTAGTCTGTACTCTGTTTGGATAATATGGCGTTATGAGGTCTTTAACATATGGTGGGGCCTGATTATTCAATACTTTGTATCCTGGAGGTCATTAACCTAAGTCATTTTAAGTCATTACTATTAAAGTAATACTTGGTTCAAGAGAGCTCTGACTCTTAGCAGCCTGGCTACATTGCTGAAAAGAAATCGTTGGTTGATATTTGATATATATTAGAGAAGGAAGTAGATATAGTGCAATTAGATTTATTAAGAGATGATCAAACAAAAGGGGGTTTTCAGGAACTACTAACCAAATTCCAAAAAAGTTGGGAGGCTGTGCAAATTGTAAATAAAAGCATTCTGCAATGATTTGCTAATCTCTCACAACCCTTTTTAAATTGACAACAGATCATAAAAAAATATATCAAATATTTAATTATTTCATGAAAAATATGGGCTTATTTTGAATTTAATGTATGTAAAACATCCCAAAAATGTGTTATGTGGTAACAAAAGACTGCAAAAGTAGGTGGTAATAAAAAGAAACACCTGCGGGAATATTTTGGTTCTGGTTATAAAAAGGGCATCTTAGAGAGGCAGAGATTCACCAGTCCACAAAAGACTGCATCCACAGGTAGTGGAACAATTACAGAATAATGATCCACAGTGTAAAAATGTGACGGCTTTGAGTATTTTGTCATGAATAGTATGTAATATATTAAAAGGTTTAGAGAACCTGGAGAAATCTCTGCGCGCAAGGATAAAGGCCAAAAATCAATCTTGGAAGCCTGAAAGCTTCAAGTCTTCGGGTGGAAATGCACTAACACAAGTATGATTCTGTCATGGAAATTACCGCACTGGCTTAGGAACGCTTCCAAAAACCATTGCCTATCAACACCATGCATCCAAAAATGGTGTTGACCCAGGGTGAGATCTAAAACCTGCAGGGTGTCCGGGGCTGGGCGCTCAGGTATGTACCAGCTCACTCCCAGTGGCTACTTGGCGGGGCCTGGCTCCTGTTGCTCGGTTAGGCCTCTTCCGGGGTGCGGGGGGCCCTTGGGCCTCCGGCCTCTGGGCCTGCGGCTTGGTTCACTCTGGCACAGCTGGCTGCTGGTAGAGCCGGCGGGCACGCCGGTGCAGCCCCCTGCTCGGTGGCTACTGGGTTACGCCTCGTCTGGGGATCCCCAGCCCTTCCCATGAGGGTGGCACGGATGCCCCTCCGGTGGTCCTCCTTGGGCTCTCGCACTCTGGGGCCTCTGGATGTCTGGGGCCTGGATCTCCTCCATGCCTGCTTCATGCCCTGGGGGACCGGGCTATGGCTCTCTACATCCTCTTGCAGACCATTACATGTGGAAACCATTTGAATACAAGCGCGCTGATCCACACAGGTGTGCACACGGGTGTTCACTGTTCATAGACATAAACTACACCTTTCTTGTCTGCTACTTGAAAGCACATTGTGTGCTGTCTGTCCTGCGTGCTGCACAACAACATTCAATATTTAGTATTAGTAGTACTGCTGTTTACACTTAGCTAGATTAATGCGATGGTGTTGTGCTTAGTATGTTGCTTTGGGTTTTTTTTTTTCCTTGTTTTATATTCTTTTTCTCTCAACAGGTGATCCAGGAGATTTTTTTCCCCTTTCTCACTGTCCCTCTCCCCTTCTGTTTTTCTTTTCCTTCCTCTTTCTTTCTCCCTTTCCTATCCCTCACTCATGTCTGTCCCGTCTGTAACAACTGAAAATAAAATAAAATAAATAATAAAAACAAAGGTCAATCAAGTGGACCAATACGGCAATGCCATGATGATCCATTTGGCAAAGTAAATCCATTGGGTATCCTTGTTGGTCTTCAGACAACAATTGTGATGGCTAAAGAACCAAATGGGACAGGCAAAAAAAAAAAAAAAACCTGCAGGGACACCGGCCCTCGTGGACTGGGATTGGGGACCCCTGCTCTAGACTAAAAAGGATTGGGACCATTTGGCATGTTATCAGCACTCAATTCAAAAGCCTGCACTTCTATAGTGTGAGGTGCAACATTTCTCTACCAAAAGCCCATCAGCTAGCCTTCATAGTTTCTAGACCTTATGACCTGTTGTTAAAAGAAACACAACCCTGTCCCAAACATTTTTGAGATCTGTTGCTGTCATCAAATTCAAAATTACTTTTCCAAGTTCAAACATTTTGTTACTTTGTAGGACTCAGAAGCAGCACTGATCTCATAATACAGCTTTATTTATGGACTTCCCTACATAAAAATGTAAAAGAACTTAAACTGGGGAGATACTAGAAAATTGCTAACTAGGAAGTTACAAAGGTGAGACAAGGGACAACAAAACAAAGGAAGACTAAGACAATATATACACACAGATAACGAGGGAGGAGGAAACGGGCGGAAAACACAGC